AATAAAACACACCCAGACAAGTTCCAGAGACAACCCGGTGATCGCTTTCCCATAGGGTGACGAGGGGAGGATCGCCGGGTAGGATTATGCTATGCGATGATACCTGGTGGACTTCAATCTACTCTCTTCTACATGCTGCAAGATGGAGGCTGCCAGAAGCGTAGTCTTTGATAGGACTAGCTAACCCCCTCTTATTCTAGCATTCTGCAGTTCAGTCCACCGATATTGCCTCTTTACACTAATACCCATGCATATGTAGTGTAGATCCTTGCTTGCGAGTACTTTGGATGAGTACTCAAGGTTGCTTTGCTCCCTCTTTCCCCCATGTTCCCCTTCTTCCCGGACGTCGCAACCAGATGTTGGAGCCCAGGAGCCAGACGGCACCATTGACAACGACTCCTACTACACAGGAGGTGCCTACTACTACGTGTAGGCCGCTGATGACGACCAAGCGTAGTTTAGGAGGATCCCAGGTAGGAGGCTTGCGCCTCTTTCTATCTGTATCCCAGTTTGTGCTAGCCATCTTATGGCAACTTGTTTAACTTATATCTGTACTATGATATTGTTACTTCCGCTGACTCGTTTATGTTCGAGCACTTGTATTCAAGCCCTCGAGGCCCCTGGCTTATAATATGATGCTTGTATGACTTATTTTACTTTTAGAGTTGCGTTGTGATATCTTACAATGAGTCCCTGATCTTGATCGTACACATTTGCGTGCATGATTAGTGTATGATTGAATCAAGGGCGTCACAGCACTCTCAGGCCTCAATGTGTCGATCATCAGCCGGCGACGCGAGAGGTGGCCCGCGCTCCTCCTGCCTACTGCAAGCGAAGATGACGGCGATGACATGGGGGACGACCGGCGATGCGAGAGGTGGCCCGCGCTCCTTCTGCCTACTGCACGCGAGGATGACAACGATGACGTGGTGGACGGACGACGACGCGAGAGGTGGCTCACGCTCCTCCTGCCTACTGCACGCGAGGATGACGACATCGACGTGGAGGACGGGGATGGATGGGCTCGGCTGAGGCAGCGGCTGGCTGGGCATAGGAGATGGCGGTCGCGTGGGGTTGACTGCGAAAGGGGGTGGGAGGAAAAGAGGTGCGCCAGGGGTGAGATTGACGGCTAGGGTTCTCGCCCAATCCATTATCTCCTCGACTTTACACACAGACAAGCCACCCATGGAGCGCCACACAAGGGAAGGAACATGAAATCTCAAACACCCTCGGCGGGCAAGCCAAATATCAGGCGGTGGCACGGGTGCAACGCAGACACGGCCACACATTGGCAGGAATACCCGCCACAGCCGCTGACGGGCGTGTCCCACACCGCCTGGGCCCCTCGTGTCAGCTTAATACATGAAGGCAGAGAGAGTGCAAAAGGGCGGGCTACTATTAATTATAGTAGTGTTTTCACTCGATCGGATGGTCAGGATCTGTCCACCTGGAGATCCGACAGACATGATTCGTTCGGGGGCGCGATCGACGGCTGAGAGGGCACATGGCCTGAGAAGGCTTCATTTATCTTCAGACTCTAACAATGGGATTGTTCATGTCTTCTAAGTGGTCATGAATTTTATAAATCAGAAAGAAACACATTTGCATGCAAAGAGGAAATGTATCTTTGGATACTCTAAGAAAGAACAATTTAGGGTACACTTGATTCGCAGATTTTTCAAAATGTAGGAATATGAAAAATACAAGATTGAAGTGCCATGTCATACTGAACCTGGTACTAGATTAGTGAACCCAAGGAATTTTGAGTATTTGATGTCACAAAAAAACAAAAATATATTGTATAAAGAGGCTTGAGTGGATAAGAAAATTCCTCCAAAATAAAGCATCCCTAGAAAATTAGTACAAGGATACAACCCCTACAAAATTCGCATGAAGTTCCTTTGTATCAAAATTCATATGTGCATTTTTACACCCCACCCACGGATCAGTGCCACAACACACCTCACCCCATCCAATCACGTCATGCCAACCCCCGCCCCACGGATCGCCCCCCATGATCCGTGTGCTCACCTCGAAGCCCAATCCCAGTCATCCATCTCCCTCCGATCCAACGCCCCAAACTTCGTCTCCCTCCTCCAGCCTGCG